GTGTAACCCCCGATGAAGTTGATTCATAATTTGCCATAGAATACTGTTGAAAACAGTCAAAATCCCACACAACTACACAACAGCCACAAGCAGAATACCAACCCTCAAGAAATTTACTTCTAGGATGTGAGGAAGAAAACAAGAAACTGTTGAAATCAACTCTGTGATGGTTCAGTCATTAAACCAGCCCGGTAATCAGTCCAACACAGCCAAGGCAGACATTACTATCAGTCCGATTACAACCCATACAATCTAACAATCTAGCATCCAAACGAATGTATAGAACCAAGGAATAAGGCCTTCACACCATTGGCCAAAAAAGACAAAAACAAGAACACACCTGTCCAGCACCTGTACGAAGGTGCCAACCAGAAATCGACTTCACAGCATCGAACAGAGAAGAAAGGTAGTCTCTATCAGCATCGCTCTTCTTTGGCTAGGGTTTCCTTGATATTACAACCAAGGAAGAACCCACAGGAGGTGCCGCCAGTAATCTAGGGTTTCTCTGTCTTCCACGTCCAAGAATTTAAAGAAGGAAAAAAAAAGGTGAAGCAGGTTCAAAACAGGTGGGGCCGAAATTCTTTTACAGCCCAAAAACTTGCTTTGATACCATGTAATCAGTCATGGAGAGTGGGAGACGAGAGAGAGAAAGAGAAGGAAAGGGAGATACGATTGAGAGAAAAAGAAAACCATCTCTGGCTGCCGCCAGTTCACTATTTATATTAACTTAATAAAAAGGAATAGAAATTACAAATATGCCCCTGGTGGCACACCCTAGAAACAAACTAATAAGAAAAAAGGAAAAATAACTAACTGACAGTATCTTAAGAGGACAACCTACTAACAGCAACTATAAAGTAACAGTTAAATAAGCCTTACAACAATCCTCTCTCCAGAATTTATAACTTGGTTTGTTGTAATCACTTCAGATACTATTCAAAATATGGTATCTTATGAAACAACAAAAAAGAAATAATCATTCATTATCTGCACTTAGTCAAAGTTTCTAATCTGTGTTTGTGATCTGTGAGCTAAAGGTTGCTGCTTTAATACTGGAGAATACATTCACACCTATCCTGGATATGGCTGGAGTTCTACTACCTTTCTTGAAGTGGTTCATTGGTGGCAGTGGTTCTAAAGGCCTCAAGGTTCTTAATTGCCTTGTACGGTCTCCATGGAGCACTATTGATATTATTGGCCAGGTAAGAATAGATGTTACTGGAAACTTTAGATCTGTAACCCCTTGCTTTTTATTGTATCTGCAAGGCTTCTGATTTGTAAGTGGATGATTTTATCCCTTTTGTGCCCATATTTTGATCTATAGACGTCCAAGTTCTATATCATGTTTGATTTAAACCTATTTACTGCAGATCAGACAGCCACTCCTATTACTCTCAGGATTGCAAGATGAGATGGTTCCCCCATCTCACATGCAGATGCTTTATGCTAAAGCAGCTTCACATAACAAGCAGTGCATCTTTGTTGAATTTTTCTACTGGTATGCATATGGACACATGGCTGGCTGGAGGTGACCATTATTGGAGAACAATTCAGCAGTTCATGGATCAAAATGTCCCTGAGAATAAGGAATATGACTCGCATCAGAATGACAAAGGTAATGATTCTAAACACTGGATCTCTGCTTTTATAACCTGCAATGTCAATAAGGCCCTTTAGTTTGTTTATATTTCTTGTAAATAGCGAAAGAGGGAAATCAAAACAATTGGAAATTTTTGAATTTTGATGTAAAGGAACTGGGTATCTAGCTATCAAGAACTGGCAAATGGGTTTCTTTTAATTTTGAAGTTTATCTGGTTTTGTTAGAATTTTTTTTTTTTTTTGAACAGGGTTAGATCTTGGAGCTTTGGTTCTAGGGTTTTAGCAGCATTTCTTAGAAAAAAATGCTGAAAGAATCGGCTTCTTTGTTGTTGATTTTTTCTCTCCTTTTCTCTGTTTCTGCCATGGAGAATGGATTCCCACACTGTAATTGTGATGACGAAGGCTTCTGGAGCATGGACAACATTCTAGAATGCCAGAGGGCGAGCAATTTCCTTATTGTAGTAGCTACTTTTCAATCCCTATTGAGCTCCTTTACTTCATTAGCTGCTCCAATGTCCCATTCAAATGGGTCCTCTTTCAGTTCATTTCCTTCATAGTCCTCTGCGGGATGACTCATTTGCTGAACGGGTGGACTTATGCCCTTTATACATTCTAGCCGATGCTGGTTCTCACCAACTTCAAATTTCTTACTGCTTTGGTCTCCAGTGCAACTGCTATCACTCTGATAACTCTCATTCCTCTGCTTCTCAAAGTAAAGGTGAGAGAGCTCTTCTTGAAGAAGAAGGCCTGGGAGCTTAATAGACAGGTAGGGAAGATGAAGAAACTGAAGGAAGCCAGTTTGCATGTTCGAGAGTTGACCCAAGAGATTCGGAAATCATTGGATAGTCATGCCATCTTATACACCACTCTGCTCAAGCTGTCCAATACTTTGGACCTGCAGAACTGTACGGTTTGGATACCCAACGATATTAAAACAGAGATGAACTTGACCCATGAGTTGAAAGGGAGGAGTTCGTTGATTCACTCTTGCCCTGCTATCCCAATAAATGATCCAGATGTAAAGAAAATTAAGGAGAGCAAGGGAGTGAAGATCCTGAGGCCAGACTCAGCTCTTGGTATTGCAAGCAGTGGTGGATTTGGTGAGCCTGGTGCTGTGGTGGCAATTCGGATGCCCATGTTGTGGGTAGCAAACTTCAATGGAGGGACACCAGAATTAATCCCACAATGTTATGCAATACTGGTTTTGGTTCTTCCAAACACTGGTGGTAGAGTTTGGACTTGCCATGAATTGGAGATAGTGGAGGTGGTTGCTGATCAGGTGGCTGTTGCTCTATCCCATGCTGCAGTTCTGGAAGAGTCTCAGCTCATGAGAGACAAACTAGCAGAGCAGTACCAGGCACTGCAACAGGTTAGGGAGAAAATACTTATCTTGGGACTGCTGCCTATGATACGGCATGAGAATCTGAGCAGTGAGCAGCAGATCACAGTTGAATCAATGCTAAAGACCAGCATTGTACTCTCAACCCTGATAAATGATGCAATGGGGATTTCAAGTGCGGATAATGGAAGGTTTCCACTAGAAATGAGATCTTTCCAGCTAGCTGCACTCGATGATCAAGAAAGCAGCTTGTCTTGCCAAGTGTCTATGTGTTTGTAAAGGTTTCTCTTTCACCATGGAGGTTGAGAACTCAGTGCCTGATCAGGTAATAGGAGATGAGAGAAGAATTTTTCAGGTGATATTGCATATGGTTGGGAATATTCTGAAGGAATTTTTCATGTGACATTGCAATTAAACATTTTATTTTCATTGATAAAAAAAATGAACATTTTATTTTCAAAATTATTAAGAAGACAACTATATATTCTAACAAATTTTCTCAGAAAGTCATTAAGAGTTTACGACCTTGAACAGGATATGCCAAGCCATAAACTCTTTTATCTTAATATTCAATCGAAAAGCCATGTCTACTGATGGCAATTGGCCAATAAGGTTTGCCAAATTGTTATTTTTTTATATGTATTGCCAAATCATCTTCATTCTTATGGGTTGTATTTGCTTGCATTGATAACTCTAATGTGTGGCTCATATTTGGTTATCTGCTTGGGTTTGGTTCATGCTTCTATTGATAACTCTAATGAAGTATATATAACTGATGGATATRTACATCATTGAACAACTTGTATGCCTTGGTGATTAATTTTGCATCTTATATTTCAGAATTTACTATCTTGATTTTGAAACCCATGTGCAGATGATGAAAGGGAACATTTGGGTAATTCCAAACAATAAGGATTTTGCACAAAGCATGAGACCTTAAGTTTCAACTCCAACCAAACCATCTATAGGAGGAGGCATCTTTGAACCAGGTGGATCATCAGAGCAGCTACCTTCAGAATTCAGAGGCCTTCAAGTTATATTAGCTGATTATGATGACATCAATAGGGCTGTGAAACGAAAGCTCCTTGAGAAGCTCGGTTGTCAAGTTAATGTTGTTTCCTCTGGGTTTAAATGCCTTAGACTTGGGCCCTCTGGAACTTCATTTCACATCATTCTTTTGGACCTCAATGTGCCCGAGATGGATGGCTTTGAAGTTGCATTTTATTTTAGAGGTTATTTTAAATAATTTTTATTTTTCTATTAAGATTTGTTCAAACTGGTTGTACTTAGATATCTTACCCATGTATGACCTGGAACATGATACGATTTCTTCTATAATAAAGTTGGTTGATGTAATGATGTTTATGGGAAAATTCCACTTTTATTTTTTAAATGTTTCTTCTATTTACAAAAAATAATTTTATATTGGATTTTAGTTTTAGTTTATTTTGTTCTACTTTTACAGTTTAAACTTTTAATAGTTTTACTAGCATTAATCAATAATAATTATTTAAAAACTTACATTCAGTTAAATTAATTAATTAATTACTTCAATTTCTTTACATTAAGTGATATTTATTAACTCTATAAATAATCTTTCTCAGTACATGATATTAAAATAGTAAGGGTATAATTAGTCAATTTCTTAAACCTTAGGAATAATTTGAGAAATTTGCCCATAAGAATATTAGTATGGACCTGTGTGATGCACGGATTTTGTTGAAGGGAGTCTTGTGATATTTCTAAATGGATTAAGGGAGACCAAGTCCAATTCAATCATTATTTTTTGATGATGTATTGTTAGATAAATTAGTGTTAAAATTAATTTTTGTTAATTTAAAACTAATAATTTTCTTATATTATTAATTTTATTAATAAACTTTCTTATATTTTGTTTTACTAATTTTTATTGTTTTTTATTAGAATTTTTGATGTTATATTTTAAATGGATTTTAAAGTCAATAAATTTTTTAAATATACTTGTTCTTTTTATTAAATGTACTTTTAGTTTATTGTTATCATATTTATTAACTTTTATCATGATTTTTAAATGTAATTTTAATAGATATTAAGATATAAAAATTAATTTCAGAACTAATAATTCCTTACTAACATTTTGTTTTTATTAATAAACTTAAAATGGATGGAAGGTAAGTGGTTGTGATCATGGGCTGACTCGGGCTAGGCTTAGCACATGTTATAAGGCTATGGCCTAGGCCCAAGCCTGACCTAGGTTCTGAGCGAGAAACATAGGTCCCATCCAGCTCTACACATGTCTAGGTAGGGCTTAGCAAATAGTAATTGTAATTAGGGCTATAGCCTAGGTCTGAATAGGTCCATGCATAATTCCGCCTATGAATTTTATTTACAAAATAGTGAATGCATATAATATTTTTATATCAAACATTCATATGTCATGTATAAAAAAATATTTTATACATTTTATATTATAAAATACCATACATTATATGTGCTGTAAGTATCGTTTTATAATATTTATATGTAAATAAAAATAACATAAATAACACAAATATGTGCGGGCCAGGTGGGACTTGGGCTAGGCATGAAGTGTTGGGACCAAGTCCAACCTTGAAATTTGTGGTGCTAATATGAGCCCAATCATGGGCTAGATTGAAAAATGATCACCCCTAGGCATGAAGTGTTGGGACCAAGTCCAACTTGAAATTTGCTAATTTATATTATATTATCAATTAGTTAAGATTAATTAAATTATTAAGTTTAACTAATTAAGTTATAGTTAATTATATACTATTTGTAAATAAAAAAAATATCATATTATGCTTTATTAATAATATAGTTGACAAATGTAATTAACCTATTAATAATACTTAATTACATATGAATAATAAATTATCCTTAAAGTAATTATTACTAACCTCTATAATATGACTCGGATCTCCTGCCCATAAAAACTCTGCCCATATCTATTTACAATACATTACCTCTCGTGAATTGAGAACATCTCCCTCTATATAATATTATGTAGAGGATGAAATATTCTCTATATATCACTGTGATAAAAATRGGCAGGAGATCCGGACTCCTATAATATAATCCATATAATCTAATAAGCATTTTAAATAATAACACCCACTTATCGCTCTATGACACCCACCTAATGCACCCACAAATGACTGAACGGAGGTCTCCCATTCCAATTCTCCAGTACTCTCGTTCTCTTTTTGAAACAAATTGAAAGACTCTTGCTAAACACAAAAATCTCTACGACTCCCATTCTTTGCTTCAAGAAATGCCCATGTGAAATTATATAAAATTAAAAAATAAAAAAAAACAAAAAAAAGAGAAAAAGAGAAATGTTACATCAGATTATTCCTCTTTAATATATAGATATAGATGGGGAAAGGAAACCAATGATTAAAAAAAGGAGATCCATGCATCTGGTTTAAGTAATTGCCTTTAGATAGAACGTTTTTCCTATTTCTTGCTTTATTTTTTATTTGTTGGTTCAAGATTCAATTGAAATTATTTCAAGTAACTATTGATTCAACGAAGATTGTCAATTGCAATTAGGGCTGTTCACAGGTCGGGTTGGGTCGGTTTTATTGCAGTTTTTTCAACCGACCCGACCTGGTCGAGTTACTTGACATAGAAACCGAAACTGATTCAGTGTTAAGTAAAATTGACTTGGTCGGTTTCGGTTCTAAGTTCATCCCTATGATAAAATTTTGCTAATTTTAAAAACAGTCATAAATTGAACATCATTTCAACTATCTCCTATGATAAAATTTAAATGAAAAGTTAATCATAAAAATTGTTCATTAATCACTATTCACTAATCCAAAGTTTCTTGCAACCATTCAAAAACTAGGTGGCCTAATGGGCTTTGGAACTTCATGTTTGAAGTAGGAAGTAAATCGGTTTGGTTCAGGTCGGTTTCGATTTTTCTTGTGTAAAAACCGAAACAGACCCGAATCATTGGTTTAGGAATTTGTACAACCCGAAACCAACCCGTACTGATGAAAACCCGGTCGACTCGGGTTAGGTCGGTCCGGGTTGGTCGGGTTGGGCCTTCTTATGAACAGCCCTAATTGCAAGATATCATAAGAGAGACCTAAAAATCCTGGCTTCACCTATACAAAACCACTGGAAAATAATTAAAGCATAATAATCAGAAGATAAGAACAAATATGAAGAACAAAAGAATGAGAGAGACAGAGAGAAATTGTAGGAAGTTTAGATAAACATGTAAAGAGGTTATTTTAATATTTGGGTGAAGATCGTGATGAAAATGCGACCCGTTTTTTATCAATCCATGTGGTTTAGAGTTCGTGTGTTCCACGACATATCCGTTTACATGCATTTGCATATTTCCCATTTACCAGATTCACCAATTATCTGGTTTTGGATTGGGCTTGTATAAAAATTAATGAACATTCTTTTAAAAAATTAAAAAAGAAAAAGTCAATAAAAACAATTCAAAATCATTAAAAGTAAAATAAACTTATCTAATAATAACAAATAAAAATGAAATTATAAATTAATAATTAATAAACATCAAAATCAATTTAAAAAGTAGCAATTATTACAAAATTATATAACAATAATAAAAGTAACTCATTAATTGTTAAGCAATTTTATATTCTAATGGTAAAAAAATAATATAACATAAATATAACATAAAAAATGGTCAAAACCGTTTGAATAATTAACCGCTTGGATCAGTGATTTATTGACCAATATCAACGGTTTTTAAAGAAAGTCCGATTTATTGATCGTCTAATTGGTTCCCGGTTTTCCAATTCGACCATCCGATTTGGTTTTGAAAACCATGGTTTAACACTTTAATTTGGCCCAGCAAAAGAAAATTCGTGCCACTAGAACCAATGATATCTCTCCAACAATATCATTGGTTACACAGCCGCTGAACAGCCATCGCGTTCAGCTAATATGAATTACATTAAACGGAGGGTGTAGTAGCGTCCGTTAAGTTGCTTGCACGAGTTTCAGCTTCACACCATGCAATGCCTATGTGTCAAATGTGATTGAACGTGCAATAAAATGTGCACAACCCAGGGTGCAGGAGATCCGGACTCTTCTGGAGTGGAAGCTGCGGCTCTCAAAGCAACCGGTTTCCCGGCACCGGCACCTGGTCATTCGTCATCCTCGAGCGATCGTGGAACCCCTCTGTGATTGCATAATGTGGCACTCTTCAATGCTCTAGTATCTTTTCTTGCGTCAGCTTGCTTGCTCGTAGGGATAATGAAGCGGAGACTGAATGCTGCTAGTGCAGCAACTAAAGAGCCAATTGATAAGTCTAGTTATTCCAAAAGGGAACCGATTTCCTCAACCTCTGATGTTCGAATTTTCGCAATTTGTTTGATTTTTCGAGCAGTCAATTCATTGTTAGTGCAAACATATTTCAATCCAGATGAGCATTGGCAGGCCCTAGAAGTTGCTCACCGAATTATATTTGGGTAACTCAACTAATCTCGCTTTTTTCTCTTTTAGGTTTGTTTTTAGTTGTATTTAGTTCATCAATAATGCTTGGTTTGTCTGGATCAATTAATCAAATTATGTTTGTTTGTGGAAATTGAATGACAGATATGGCCACTTAACCTGGGAATGGGAGAAAGGGATCCGTAGCTACCTGCATCCTTTGGTGTTTGCTTTTCTCTATAAAATTCTTGCTTTTCTTCATCTTGATACTCCCTGGTTCATGGTAAATCTTCATTTTAACTGAGAATCATTTGAAACTTGTTCAGGTTACACTTTCTTAGATTTAGATTTTTGAGAAAGATATACAAAGAGAACCAATTTTGTTATGTTTCTTTTTATCCTTATTTTTTTTCCTTGTTCAATGCTTAGACTGTGAGAACTTTGTTATTTTAGAAATAATTTAGTATTTACAGAACATTTGGTTTTATACTTTTAGTACAAAGGTATAGATCCTCTCAATGCCTATACCAAAGAGATTTTCTGTTTAAAAACAATTTAGTAAGAACATTTGGCTATGCTAAAGGGGATGGACCTTCTGAGTCTATATTCTGTGGAGTGTAGAAATTCTAGTATCTTACACCTTGTAGTCTAGCAGTTGAGGTGAAGTCTTGAAAAGACTGCACATGTTTGTATCATGGTAAAATATCCTTCTGTGGCAGGTTTTAGTCCAGTACCCATTGCTATATGGCTAAACCATCGTTCTCCTTCCCATCTTTTTCTTTTAACCTGAGGAAAATATAAAATCTTAAGGCTGCCATATGTAGGGGAAAGATCTTATACATGGTGTAATTTGGGTTGGAGAAAGGTTTTCTTTGCTCTTTGCTTTTTATAGAGAGGTAGCATCTCGTGCCTCTCTGAGGGATGCTTGTAAAGTCTTATCTTAAAGTCTAATAAAAGCTCATCTTATTTATCAAAAAAAAAAATGGGTTGGAGAAAGGTATTTTATATTGTTTAACTGGAACCTTGCCCACTAGTTGGACTGCCCTCTATACTCTATAGTCCACTGTCCACAATCCACATGGTTTTCTAATTTTGTGGAATATCAGAATCACTATAGAAAAAATTTTTAAACAACTAATAATGAAATATTTTCTTTATCCAAATTATCTTGGCCTACTGTTAGGTTCATGAACTCAAACCAAATAATTTAATTATTGTTTTGCATGGAGATGTAGAGATGATGGGTTATTAGAAAAACTAAATCTTCTAATTATCTTTGCATACTACCAGGCATACCGCATGAATCTTGGAAACATCCTCTCTCTGTATCTGTAGGAGTAAGGCTGTGTACATCTATCCCTCTCCATACTCCGCATTGGTGGGAGCCTCATGCACTAGGCTGCCCTTTAACTTGTTCATGGAAGTAATTGGATGGTTTGTTCAAAATCCTTCCCTTATTCAAATCGCCTCTCCCCACTTCTTGGTTAATTTAATTTGCATTTGTGTGTTAGGCTGTAATTTCTAGATGCAGTATTTATACCAATATATATTTATAATGCCTACCAAATGAAGAAAAACCATGAACTCTATGAATAGGGAGTTGAAACATGGAAGGATCATTACTTGCATATTTTGATAATTAACATCATTATATTACTAAAAGGAAGAAAAAACCAGATCTGCCCAGAAAAAGATAGATGAGGAAGCACAAAGGCAGCCTCAAGCTGATTACACAGGAATAAATAATGCAATAATCGGAATACAAATGGAGCTGTGGCCCAGGCATTTCCTATTGACACCCTGACAGTCCACCCCAGCTTGAGCTAAACTGTCAGCTAGGGAGTTAGCTGATTTTTGAAGTCTATAACAAGTGTTAATAATTTGGAGCGGAGCTTCCCAACAGAACACTTTGACCTTTGGGGTGGGTGGATCAATCCAAATGTGTTTTAAAGGAAAAGATGGGAGTATGAGGCTGGGATTGAGAGAAATCAAGCAGTTTGAAAAAGGATTAAACAGAGAAAGGAAGGATATCTTGGTTGATGTTTTGCAAGAATTCTGATAGTTCCTTTGTTTCCTAATCAGCCACTCCTTGTCTAAGTCCAAATTCCAAGAGATATTGCCGTTTTGAAGAGAGGCCAAACTGGCAATAGGTTTTTCTAAAGCCTATACAAATAAGGGTAAGCACAAGAAAAAGGAGCATCTCTCCACCATTAGACTTCCCGAAAATTCATCTATTTTTGTTTTGGGAATCATATCTAATGTTTGGAGAGAAAGTGGGTAAGATGGTCATGATAGCATTACTTTCTATTTATAGAGGGCAAAAAAGCTCATCTGTATCATTTAATTCACTAGTGCATTCTATCATCTCCTATAAATGTTAATCTCACTTAGGTTACTTGATGTGGCTCAGATTGTGATGGTGAACTTAGGGCTTATTTTTGGGAGGGGATGACATCACTAATTCTTTGTTCATGGAATTGGAGGAACTGGATAGATCAAGGATCTTTTGAGATGAGTAAATTGTTGAGAAAGTAGATTAAATTTGATGGAGGTATTTTTGTACTGTTATTTTACTTATCAGGGGTACTTGAATCATTGTACCTGTCTTATTATAAATAAGATTGAGAGAGGTCAACTGCCACATCTAGCATTTTTTGGCTAACCCTCTTGTTTTCTCTTTTCTTCCTCTCCTCTTCTCCAATACTTTTATACTCACCTACCACCCAAGGATGCTACTTAGGAGTCTTATTCCAACATCCAGCAACAGTATCCTTATATCAACCTTGAGGATAAGGTTGTGCCTAAGGGGGGAGGGATTGTTAATTTCCAAGTCCAGGCCCAATGCTCTGATGGGAAGACCATGGCCCATACAGCTGCACCTGGGAGAGACAAGCCCAATTCTGCCTATGAGGTATGTATTTGCATGGAGACCAAAATGAATAAGAAGTTCAAATTTCCCTCTTATCCTTAGCTCTTCTTTTCCATATGAGGAAGAGTCCCCTTGAAGAGACTCCTGAGTGAGCAGATTCTAACTACATTATGGAGAAGGATGATTCTAAGAAAATGTAGGGTTGTGTGGTGTAGAGAACACTGATGTGGGCCCCACAGCTACGGTCCCACTGTGTTCGTAGGGTAGAAGGTGTTCTAGTCTGCCTAGGGTTAACTATTGGTCATTTAGTTGTTTCAGTTGTTACTTATTTCAGTCTTATTTTTGCTCTATTTGTTATGTAAAGACTAAGGGCAGATCTGTCCTTTCCATGTAATGAGCATAACCTATAAATATT